AAAATTATGCCGGCCTGGTCGTCGCCTGGATTGCCAAGGGCTGCGCAGGCTGTTGGGGGACTGATGCAGACTGCGAAAAGTCGGCGATCAGAACCTGTTCATCGCCCTATGCTAGCCGGGGCCGTAGCAGCACAACAACGGCTGACAAAGACTGACGGAACGACGACGAAGATACCAGTCAGCAACGGAGTCGTTACCCGCTCTGAATGGAGGAAGTATACAGCGCGATGCCATTACAGCACATCAGAAAAGGCTCCACGAGCACGGTAACAAATATTGTTTTTAAATTGAAGTATTATAAATTACATAATACAAATGGATACATTTAAAATTTATTATTTAAATAGCTTGGCAGGAACTGACGAGTGCGAGAACATTGTTCAACCGAAAGCAAAACTGACAGTGATGCGGCATTTCACTGCGGTAAGCTATCTGAGGCAGGTCGCATTTGTTAGCAAGAACTGTACGCCTAGTTTAGCATGACTTCTGCTGCCACGCCACGAGAGGCTCAGACGACTCTTTGCTTCGTCATTGTGATAAAGTTATTTGTTTAACATTTAGTAGCAAGACACTACCTTTGCGTCGCGGCTACGAAAACACATTTTGTTCCTGCAGCTTCGTCACAGGTAAACTACAGATCATTTAACGAAGAAATGCCAGATCTTAGATGACTATATTTCTGACTGGACAGTGGATGCGCATACTCCTATTCCTATCTACCTAAATGATAAATGAAACAATACTTATCTGAAAATTTTAATTTAAAGCCAAACCTCTTTCGAGCTGCCCTCGTAAGTCGAGCCATCTACTGTGAAAAGTATTAGGGTACTTCTACAAAAGAACGAAGGAAAGTGTCAATCTTCCTTACACTCTCATGATTAGCAGCCAATCTTTTTCCGTGAAGTTTATGCTGTGGCGCTGAACTCTGTTTCTATGCCTTCAGTCAGGAGCGCTCTGTTTCAAAGGCAGGGTCTTGTTTCCTTCCTAAAGAGTGATACTCACTTATCGCCCTCGGAAGAAAGGCGAGTTACCGTAGTGGCGACTGAAATCATGACCTGTAGGTTCATACTCCGATACTACCGACTGAGAAGCCGCGCTCCTACGCGCGAACTCCGCAACTTCGCACAAACGCCGTAGATCATCTAACAGTGTGGCCAGCGCCAACAAACAGAAAATTATGCTCTTTTGCAGTACGAATGTTTATTCAATTTCTGTAATGTTTTTGAACTTTGCCAGAGGTCTAGCAATTCCTTGCGGATTGCTGCGGGAAGCTGCGGTCATATTTCCTGATGAACTGAACAATGGTTTTTAAAAGCAGCCACTGATTCTTCACTTGGCGAACAGTCCGTCTCTTCTGAACTATTTCCATGTTAATTACTGCAATTTCGTTTCGCACAATCATCCAGAGGGAATAGTCGAAATAGAAAATAGCAGTTCTAAACGACGACGCCGAATAGCAGCTGTCAAGAAATATGAAAATGTGTTGTCATTGTCATTCTGCAATTGATTGAAAGGCTTTCCTGTTGAAGATGTCTGCACTGAACTCGAAACTGCGACAGTTTTGTAGTCTGTATTGAGAGAATAAGCGTGCTGCTTTTATTTTCAGGAACTTCGTACGAGCCTCATTAATTATGTCTTGTGTGTCTGAAGATTTACTTTGAAAATTTAAAAAATACTCTTCTCTGCGGACTGTAGATCATGAGTACATTTCTTAAAAGGGACTTTTAAGCAAATCAATTTTACTAAAAGTAATGCCAAAGTTGCGAACCCTACTGGACTCACTATCAAGGCATCGATAAACCTACGGAGCGAGTCAGCTTATCAATGCCTCCTACGATGTTCTAGGGCACCTTTCATTTCGACTAACAGTTGCCTTAACTGCGACAAACGCATGGACCTGACCAATAGCTGGACGTCCGCTAACGAGGATCTCTCGCCTATCAGCTATTGGACACCCTAGGTTGCAGTGATAAGCTGATTCTACGATGCAAATGGCATATTTCAGCGAAGTTACACAGTCCGTTCTAGCAAGGAGATCGAGATCGAGCTGTAAAGCTTGTAAATTTGGATTACGCAGTCGCCTGCTTTGTTTACATGGCGTATCAGCAACTGTAACGCAAATTGGAGCTAAAATGCGCGAATGAAACATGTGCTCGCATTCGTCCAGAACTACGAAAACATAACACAGCTGAGTAAAGTAATGACATTCAGAATAGCTGACTAAATGAGTATCAAGTGTAAACAGAAAATTTTGACATAAAAAATATAGTAAACCGACTGCCAAAGGTACGATGGCACAGTACGCGAAAAGAGGTTACGCAACACAATGGCGTAAGCTGGGAATGGCCCTGCGCAAGAATAACACACTAATTCGTGCAGCGTTCCAAAGTCGTTTTTTGAGCGTAGTGCGAGAGTGGCAAGGAGGTTAGCTTCGAACTCTGAGGTTGCCGGTTCAAATGCGCCAAACGGACAATCTTTATCTTAAACATGAATTCCATTGCGTAATGAATTTACCATATTGCTTCGGTGCAACCGGCTGAGAAAAGGGTAGCAAATCAATGACTTGCGAATAACAGGGATAATATGATATTTTAGTGTTATAGTTATACAAGAATTGGTCAGAGCTGGTCAAAGCTGGAATGTCAGTCATCATTCGCTTTCATGATTGGGCCATTTTGGTACCCTTCTTTTCACAAAGTTAATGGCGCGGTGCCGACCGCCGCTTGTATACCATCAGCAGGGAGTGCTTTATTTTTTAAGGCAGAGTCTACAGTCACGCTGAAAGCGTAGCATGTAGTCTTGTGGTTTCGTCTAATAGAGTGGTATTCATTTATCAACTTCAAAACGAAGAAGGGCGAGTGACTCCAACCGGGGCGTGAACTCGGGACCAATCGGTTATGAGTTCGATGCTTTACAGACCGCGCAACCCGAGCCTGAAACGATGTGTGGTAAATTTCTTGTTCAAGAGAACTTGTGTATTAGACAAAGACTGACGTAGAGCGGAATCGAAACCTGCACATCCGGTGCTGGAAGCAGTCTTCTGAGGCAGTTATGTCAACCCGTTGCCCGCCAAATACAAAAATGGAGATGTACGGCTATGTTGCCCGGTGCGAGCAGCCCTAGTGGCTGCACTTTGCCTTGGCCCACCAGATATCTGATTATGGAATGTAATAGTAAGCAGTATTACACTAGCACTATACTGCAGACAGTAATCAGTGGAATCTGAATTTTTTACTTTTCGCATCTTTTTCGATCGCGTATCGTGCATCTGTACTGGTTCGTGGCTCGTACGGTAACCTCCGACGTCCAAAAAAGCAACACTGCTCCGGTTCAAGTGCTTAATTTGCTATTCCCCATTCGTCAAAGATGTCTGACATCAGAGAGTGTAAAGAGTGTCGGTCCTCTTGCTGTGCGATGGCTGCAAGCCATTGGAGTAAAGCGACAGAAAGAAGCGAAGCACCGTAAAATCGAACATCTGCCCTTTCGCTTAATTGCATCATCTCATCTTTTCTAAGCGCTTTGAATGCAATATTACCGGACGGGATTGCTTGCTGTGTCCTTCGGGAATAAAGAGGCTCTATGCAAAAAATACTTTCTTTCTTCTGAACATCTAGTGTGCAATGGACGTATGTGGAAGGGTAATTAATTAGCCCTCTCCATTTCCTGTTACGTAGGTGTCAAAAAATGAATTAATTGTCATACGCATTTCCAGTGGGTCACAACTAGCGGCTTAGTTGGTATAAGGAACCTATTGGTAGCCAAGTGGCAATGCGCAAGACACGTTGCAAGAAAAACCGACAGTCGTTGAACCAGAGAGAAATTAGACTAGGTTCTAAAAGTAGGTAAACGGCCCGTAGGACGATCTTCAAACCAGTGACAAGAGCTGAGAAAGTTCACTGGATCAAGATGGACAGAACTGGCAAAAACGGAAATTTGCATCAACGTCTTGGAGACCTTCATCGAGCAATAAATCGAAGGAGGCTGATGATGAGGAAGCAACTCCGCTTTACTGATATTTGCCTCCCCACTGATCATAGAAATCCTGAGAACGGCTTTGCGTAGCGCAAGAACAATGTTCACACGAAATGGCATCCCTCGTTCATAGCTTACCAAGTCTGGCATCGGCGAACGCGTAACAAGCGCAGAAAGCGCATGCGAAAATCAGATATAGCTTATCCAGTTGCAGAGCTGCGGCGACGGTGATCCGCCGCATCCGGCGAGATATCGGATTGCACGACGTGAAGCGCATTGGGTGACGGTGCGCCTCCTCCTCGGGGTGGACGAGGCGACGATCGCCGGAACCGCGAAGCGCCGCTGACAGGAACCACTGTTCGGCACGTCGTCGAGGGACCAATGCCAGTGCTTTCTTTGGGTCGAATCGTCGACGCTCACACGCCAGGTGCGCTATACCGAGTGAGGCAAAACGGGGACGAGCACTAGGCAGCTTGACCGCGGCACTGAAAGAACGTCGACGGTTACCTGTGCTCATGGCGACGGTCAACAAACATTGCCCGTTGTACGGGGACGGCGTTCGTTCGGCAACGGCAACGGCAACGGACGCTGGTGCGACTAAAGGTAGGGTACGAAGCCTTCGGTCACCGGCGCCACGCCGGGGTCTCTTTTGACGGACCAACGGACGGCTAGCAGCGAAAAGTCGGGCACAAAAGCCTGGCGTTGAAAATCACAAAAACGTTCGCTGCCGGCGTTAACGTCGCTGCTTACTGGTCGCGAGTTAGCTGTAAAATGTGGGTCAGGCGCACGACGGCCAGTTTTGCGTGTCGTCACTCGATGAGACCGGTCACCTGTGGGACTCAACGTTCCGTTGATACTCGTGGATAGATTCGGCGCGGAGGGCCGATTGCTGCGCTAATCTTTTGTAAATACTGGCCAAGCACACAAGACTCACGTTCGCATTACGAAACATGTTCCGACGGGGCACAGCACCATTGACTAGAATATTTGTGTTCGACTCATTGCTTGCCTGGGGTTGCTCAGTCTGTCGAACTCGTTACCGTCAGTCACACGCTTTTCCTTCTTCCTGGGTCGACAAATGACTACCAATCCGTAGTGAGGAAAACAAACGATGACATACTATGCTAGCCACATAGCTACTGTCTAGGCTGTCTTTAAAAAGTAAGATGCTCTTGGCTGATGGCGTGGAAATGGAGATCAAGACACCATTAACTTCAAGAAAACAAGGGCATCAGAATGCTCCCATCATTAGAGTGTAACGGAGGGACATTACAACCGTTAACTTTCCTTGCTTGTTGTTCCGAAGCAAGAATCATGAAATTTGTTGCAGTTATGATCGAGTATGCTTGTTTGTCTGTTGATAGTCGTTCAGATTAGCACGTACTAGCGTATTTGATCATTATTGCCGTTTAATCTATTTAACGAATCTCAGAACTTTCCTTACACAAAATTGAGTTATTCACCAAATGAGGGTTACGTTAAATTAGATGTTGTTTTCTTTTTAATATGATTTGCTGTATTATTTTCGCGTAAGGTGGTTTTAAATGGACATGCACTGCTTATTCGGGACTTTGGTCAGACTCTGATCGGGCTTGGTAAGTCAGTAGAGCGTCAGAATCAGAAACGAAAAGTCCCGGGTTCAAGCCCAGGTCGGGTCACGCCTCCTTCTTCATTCCGAGGTTGATAAATGAGTACCACTTTGATACATGAGTGGGAAGGAAACAGGAAAACAGACTGCGTTTGTCAGAAAATTGCAGAATTCTGCGTTTAAAAGTAAGGCCACCCCGGATGACATGCAACGCCTCACCATTAACCTCATGAAAACAAAAATGTTAGAATTGGCCTGTTTTATCATATAAATCTAAAAAAATTTATCCAGGGGTTAGAAACTTTCCCCTGTTTCCTTTCTTTGAGTTATAGTGCCCGGAAAGAAGCATGGAGAAAGGAAAATTAATCCAAGAAAAGTATGACTGCATTAATATGCGGTGCACACCGACTCTTCTCTAGAGGACAAAACTGTGGATTTTATTAACTATACTCTCATTAAAACG